GGATCCATTCAGCCGCCGTATGACACGCGGCTGGCGCGAATGAAGCCGGGGTAAACGAGAAGCGGGGACCGCACGAGGCTGCGGGTGTATGATCTTGTGCAGGATGGCAACTGAGAGATGGATGACTAAGATCCAGAAGGGGGCTGGTGCCCAAGTTGCCCTGTGCCCACTTTAGGCACTCAAATCGCAAGACACGAACGGCTACCGCAGTGGTCCCTCGGATTACATCCATGATAGCACAACATCCTCCAAAACCACCCCGAACATCCGAGTGAAGCGGTGGTTTCTGTGCGTCTCACGGGCAACATCTGAAAGCCGCGGTGACAACTGCAAAGAGGGGACCTCGGAGGATGTTGCCGTAGAGACGCGACCGTTGCTAAGGGCATGCTGTCGTCATCCCATCTGAACGAAGCATCTGCACCCAAGAACACATTATTGCTTAGGCTGTTATTTATCCTTTGACACACGGGTCATGCAGCAATTAAGTCTTTTTTTTATTTTTATATGTTAGTAGTATATTATTCACCTTATATAAATATTTAAGCCATACAAGTACGTGTAATTTGCTTGCTTTCACTTCAACAGTAAGCAATCTGAATATAGAAACCATAAAATATTTGTTACTTTGAAATTAAATGAATGACGAGTCTCTGAAGTGCCACATTCTGTATCTTGTGCACAAAAAATATTTACCCCGTGAGAAGTTTTTATGTGGTGAGCACATTATAAGAACCCACCAGGTAATTACAGTGTACACAAAGGATTAAAAAAAATTATAAAAATTGGCAACTTGACCTCAGAGTCTCAGTAATTTCTGCAATAACTTTCAGCAAATAGGTTTTTATTTCAAACACCACATAAACAGTTTCATAACCTCCCACATAAAAGGGCTATACACTCCCTGGCCACTTTATTAGGTACACTTTGGGAGTATCATGTTGAACTCCCTTTTGCCTTTGTTCTTTATGGCATAGTTTCAACAAGGTTATGAAAACATTTCTGAGAGATTTGGGCCCATATTGACATTATGGCATCAACGGTTGTTGCAGATTTTTGGGCTGCACATAATGCAAAACCTCCCATTCTCCAACTGCTTTATTAGATTGAGGTCTGATGTCTCTGGATACCATTTGAATACAGTAAACTCATTGTCATCTTCAAAAAAACAGAGATATTTTTAATTTTGTGACGTGGTGTGTTGTCCTGTGGATGCAGTCATCAAGTACACTGTGGTCATTAAGGCATGGACATGGTCAACAAGAATACTCAGGTTTTTAAACAATGCTCAGTTGATACTAAACTGCTCAAAGTGTGGAAGAATATATCTCCCACATCATGCTGAACCATTAATACAAGGCAGGTTGGATCCATGCTTTCACATGTTTACACCAAATTCTCACCCTACCATTCCAGTATTTCAGCAGACAGCTGAAGGTGTTCATATTATACAAATATTGATAAATGCACGATAAACTTTCTTGGCTTTCTGTACAAGCTAAATTATACTATGGCTTACTTGTATTTTTAAAGAAAGCAATACTGGTAAACACACTGCACTTTTTTTATGCTCAGTTGCAGTATCCAGATGAAATACATAATCATGCTACACGATTCTCAACTAACCACAATTTAGTAACTCCTCGAGTTAAAAGCAACTTCCGTATTTTCACGACCATAAGGCGCACTTAAAAGTCTTAGATTTTCTTCAAAAAGTACGGCGCGCCCTATAGCGCAGTGCGCCCTATGTGTTGTAAGGAGGAGTAGAGAACACCATGAGAACGCTAAAGGGTGAAGTGTGGGCAACGGGTTGGAAAATGGCAAAGAGACAGGCTTATGAAGCACAGTTTAAACTGAAGGCCATCAGCTACGCGGAGGAACATGGAAATCGAGCAGCGGCGAGAGAATTTAAGATTAACGAATCGATGGTTCGCAAATGGAGGAAGCTAGAAAACAAGCTCCGGCAGGTCAAGAAAACGCAGCTGAGTTTCCGCGGACATAAGGCGAGGTGGCCCGAGTTGGAGGAAAGACTCGAGCGGTGGATCATCGAGCAAAGAACGAGCGGGAGAAGCGTTTCGACGGTCACCATTCGGCTAAAAGCAGTTTCACTTTCACTTTTTATGAAACGGTGCCATTTTTCCATCCGGACCAGGACTACGGTAGCGCAGCAACTTCCAGCGGATTATAAGGAAAAGCTGGCCATCTTCCGCTCCTACTGCAGCAAACACATCGGCGACAAAAACATCCAGCCCAGCCACATCACAAACATGGACGAGGTCCCGCTCACTTTTGACATCCCGGTGAGTCACACTGTGGAGAAGAAGGGGACCAGCACGGTAGCGATACGCACAACGGGGTATGAAAAGTCTTCTTTTACTGTTGTGCTTGGCTGCCATGCTAATGGACAGAAACTGCCGCCTATGGTGATTTTTAAGAGAAAGACTTTGCCTAAAGAGAAGTTTCCAGCAGGAATCATCATTAAGGCAAATGAAGCAGAGGAGCAGGAGGATCGCAAGTTCGATTCCTGCCTGGGGCGTCTGTATCCAGTAAGGGTCCTAAGGCTAGACCCCCTATGCTAAGCAAGCCTACCGCAGACATGAGCGAGACAGATAAATATGAAGGCATGCCGGCTCGGACGTCGCCCGGATCAACAAGGTCCGCGTCAGGTGTTGAGGAACCAGGGCACCCTGACGAAAAGTGGGCTACTGGAACAAGAAGGCATCGGTGGGCAAGAGACGAAAACAGGGCATTGTTGGAATGCTACTACGCAAGTAACCCCGGCGGAAGGGGCTACATGAATAGGAGCACTAGGTGCGGTGACTCCCAAGCTAGGCGAGTGGCTCCAGCAGATCCCGGGAATAACATCGGAGATCTCTGTCCAGAAGAGCGCAGTCCTGGGAACAGCTAAGATACTGCGCAGGACCCTCAAGCTCCCAGGCCTCTGGTAGAGGACCCGAGCTTGAAGGATAAACCGCCCGCAGGGGCGTGCCTGGTTTCTGTAAATATATAAAAAAATAAAAAAAAAAAAAAAAAAAAAAAAAAAAAAACACCCAGCACGCCCCTGCGGGCGGTTTATCCTTCAAGCTCGGGTCCTCTACCAGAGGCCTGGGAGCTTGAGGGTCCTGCGCAGTATCTTAGCTGTTCCCAGGACTGCGCTCTTCTGGACAGAGATCTCCGATGTTGTTCCCGGGATCTGCTGGAGCCACTCGCCTAGCTTGGGAGTCACCGCACCTAGTGCTCCGATTACCACGGGGACCATTGGGCCTGGGTTACTTGCGTAGTAGCATTCCAACTACGCCCTGTTTTCGTCTCTTGCCCACCGATGCCTAGTAGCCCACTTTTCGCGAAAATATATATATATATATATATATATATATATATATATATATATATATATATTATATGTGTGTGTGTATGTATGTATATGTATATATATAAAAAACCATTATCTCTAAACCACTGAGATGATTGTGTGGGAAAATCCCAGCAGATCAGCAGGAGGCCCATCTCGTACCAATGACCATGCAACATTCAAAGTCACTTAAATCACCTTTCTTCCTGATTGTGATGCTTGGTCTGGACTTCAGCAGGTTGTCATCTCCATACCTAAATGCCTCAAGTTGATGCAGAGGCTGGCTGATAAGATTTTTGTGTCAACAAGCAGTTCAACAGGTGTACCAAACAAAGTGTATATCCATGCAGTTTCACTATTAATCAACACTGTTAGCTAACAACTTCACTGCTAGCTACTTTCACCTTTCTATTTCAAGTAATAAATATACTGTTATCAAAAATTGTGTTCATTAAAACTTGTATTTCAACTGTCACTCTGTTCGCTAACAATTCAGCTGCTAATATTTAGCTGCACATATTAAGGTAGACATTTTTTTTTAGATATGTTTTACTCATAATTTTAGCTAGGTTTCACAGTCTTTTTCAGTTGTTTAGCAAGCTATTTCATTAGCTTGTACATACAACCTGCCAACAACTATTTACCTATACTTTTAGAAGCTAACAATGTTGTCAGTTAGCTGTACTTTTGGCTAGCTATTCAGATGACCGATTTACTCTTTTATATTTTCTACTGCGTATTGATTAATTTATAATTAACAGGTAATTCACTACTCAAATCTTTAAATAAATTATAGGTTTTTTTTTTATATATGATTTCAGAAAAAACCTTTAGACCTACTTCCTGCATACACCAGAAGTACTATCTGGGATCAGAGAAAAAAACACTGGTCTTGCAGTAGTCATCATTATTTATTACCAGAGCTCAATCACAGCTTGTTTTAAAAATTAATCCTTCAGTACATCTAAAACATTGCATTACTCTAACAATCTTTACAAACACTAGCGCACCTCAGCGTCCACTTAAATGCAACTTTCTCAAGGCTATAACCTGCGTGTTTACAGTCTTTTCTCTTTTGTCCACAACTTTCCTTCTTTTTGAACAACAAATTAAGAGTTTATGTCCCTAATATGAATTGGACTCCACTTACATATTGCAACTCAAGGGTTCTGATAAACTCATAGTTTCAAACTCTAGTGGCCCATTTATTCTGTTATAAACATGTAGTCTCTAGGCTGAAGCTGGGAAAAAAAACTTATGAACAAAGTTATATTACTTTTCCATATGCTGAGTATTTATTCCCACAACTAGCAAATTATTTTATCTAAAATAGGAGTGCCCATTTTAGAAGATAAAAAGGGGGCTTAAACTACTGAAATCTTTCTGCTGCTTGCACTTAAAATTAACTTATAACTGTTCGAGGTTTCTGAGACACCTAAAAGGATCTACTTACAGCCATTTCTGTCATTCATGGGCTGTGCCCAGTCTTGATTTAGAGAAAGTTCATTTTCATCCAAAACACATTAGACCTTCTCCTTTTGTCTTCTTTCCATCCACAGCCAGAGTCACATCTGATCTGAGGTATCTTCACCAATTAGGCTTAGCTTGGTTGGTCAGTGTGTGAGCTATGCTTGCATATTGTGTGTGTGATGTATGGGTGACACAAGTAGTTCTCCTGCTGTGATATCACCTTTTTTCAACAAACCACCTTTGGGTGGCAGAACCTTTGTACCTTGAGTCTCATTCCACCTCCATTTCTCTGGTGTTACAAGAGACCTGCAAAAACATAAAAAGGTCAGACTGTTGTGAAGTGAAAATGTCAATTTTGGATAAACTGCTACATGAAAGATAACTTCTATTTTCCGTTATTTTGACCATTAATTTCATGATTTATTAACATATTTATGAAATTCAAACATGAAATAAAGAAGCCTATAAAAAATTTTTTATGTTCATGTACAGCCTCTGAAGCCAAAACCCAGTGAATCAGCACTTTGGTAAGAAAATGTATGAATGAGAGATTCAACAGGTGGCGACAGATAGGACTTCAGCAGGTACCATGTTACTTTGTCTCTGGTGTTTAAGTGCTAGTTTATATGAAGTATTCTGGAGTTTATTTCTACCATCTGGTGGCAGAAAAGTCTATAAAGCTGCCTCTTATAGGGATTGGAAATCAAACAGCAAATGTCATATTAAATACTCACAGAGACATTATTGAAACCAGCTGCCATCTGGGTTTTGGGTCTGTGGAACTGTAACATGGTCCTGCTGAAGTGAACTCTAATTAATTATTAGTGATTAATTAAGACACATTAAGGTAAAAATCAGCATTTTTGATCATATGGGCAATGCTTTTGTCCTTTTGCTTTCTGACAAGTGTTCTTAAGGGTCTGAATTTACTCACTGTGAGGTCTGTGTCATAAGACTCATTAGTGAAACCAGGAACAAATGAGGAAGGTGATGTCTGTCGTGTTCGCAGGTAGAAAACCAGCAGGCCGACCAACGTGCCGATGAGCAGAAGGACCACAATCACAGACGCCGCAATCCCTCCTGCATTGTTTCGGTTTGGGGAGGCTGCAGCACAGATGGGAAACATTTAGTATTTGTCTCATTAATGTAGTGAAGCCAAACTTTACATTGTAGTTAGAAATTCAGTCAAATGGTTGAATGGTTAAAAAAAAGTGCTGAAAAACTGAATATTATTAAAAGCATATTAGTTCTAAATTCACTTTGTCAGTTAGGAAATTTTATTTCATTTAAAAAAAACATCTTAGCAGTGACTGCTGCTTTTTAAATTTCTCAGCACTGAATCTGAGCATGCACATTGTGCAGAAACATTAAAAACCTCTAATACAGTCTGCAATAGTTTGAATAGAAATCTGGGAGTTCTGCTCATACGTTTTATTGGATCTGTGACTTTGTTAGCACAGTTGATCCCGATGGTGTATTCGATGTCATCCAGAGCTACCACACCTGCTGTACCTTTGATGCCTTCAAAAACAATCTGTTTACAGGAAAAGTAAGATGACAGCAGAGATTGCAGTAGGTCGTACATGCTTACATACAACAGCAAGTCACTAAGTGTATTCAGACATTTGTTATAAATGTGAGCCTGACCTGGTATTTCTCAGTAGATGTGATGTCGATGTCAAAACGTTTCCACAGTCCAACAAGTTCAGTCTCAGCCAGCGGGTTGAAACGACCTTCGGAGAGTCTCCATACTTTTAGCTGGCAGTCCGCTGAAGTCATTCATAAAAAAGGTTAAAAATATTTACAGGTAAATGCATTCAAAACTGACATAAATTGAATATGTTTTTTCTTTCTTACACGACTGGCTTTTATAGAGCCAGAACTTCAGGCAGGTGCCCTTAGTAGGGGGCAGGTGAGGGCTCAGCAGTAGAGCGTTTTGACTCACTTCTGTCCGATTGCTGCTTGGAAAGAACAGGAAGTGACCTTGCAGAAAAGAAAAGAAGGGTGTTTTGAAAAAGAAGATAAGAAGTGTGACTTTGCAGCATCTGCCAGCTGTCTAGTTGTTTGTTTCTCTCTGGTTTTACCTTTTTCTGTGCCCAAAGTGTGGTCGTCAAGTGGGATTGGGTAGTGATGTTCCATCTCTGCACTCGTCAGCTCCCAGTCCAGTTTGTCTACGGTCATGTTCTGAGTGTTGCTCCAGCTGCACATGCCTCTCTCCATACTACACTTGGAACCTGGGGAATCTAACAAAATAAATATTACACTATAATTGTGCAATATTGAGTAGGATAAAATATTATAGAGAAGGTAGTCATGTACTCGGAGTAGTTTTTGAAAACTAATATAAGGCCTTTATTTTAGTGGGTTAAAGACATAAAAATACACCAGTGCAAATTGGCTTACACCTTCTCTAGGTGGTACTGTAGGCAATTGTGATTTCACTCACCACAGGAGTGCAACACTAAATGCATTATTTTCTTTGGCCTGTGGCCAGTGGTGAGTAAAAGACTTCTCTAGCCTTTAAGAGCATCATCCAGCCTCAGACTTAAAAAAAACCTGTTCTAACTCAGCATAGTGTAACCACAGAGTAGTACAGGCACACTGAAGCCACAATTTCAAATATACAGCACAAAATGGAAGACAAACAAAAATATGTCTAAAGAATGTAATATTTCTAAGTCATTTTTACTGTAGTCTTGAAGTCTTAGCGGGATCCTTGGTTAAAGCCCATGAGGAAAACTATCTAGATACATAGAGCTGCGTGCTGCTTTTACTGCAGTCTTAAAATCTGTAGTGATTTCAATCTTGATGAGGCATGTCAGTACAAACCTTGATTTTCACAGGGATAATGTGAAAGAAAGATGTCATCGATTGCAATGCAAGTGTCTTTCCCTCCAGCTCCGACAACCTCAAATTCCAACTGCAGAAGAAAATTACCACAAAATAAGCTTTGAACAGCGGGCACAAAGTCCTTAGATCAAAAACTACTGTGCAAAAGTCTTGAGGCACCACTCATTTCTTTGTTTTTTGCTATGAAAACCTGAAGTAGTTGCATGAAGATTCACTGTACAACACAAAAACACAATTTGTAGAATTCTAATTGAAAGCCATTATTTGATATGACCACCTTTATTCTTCCACACAGACCCTCAGTAATCTCTTTAAGTAGTTTTCAGGGATAGTTCTCCAGGCATCTTGAAAGAAATTAAAAGTTATTTCTTGGATTTCTTGGATCTGCCTTTGTTTTTCTCCAAATTCTCTGTCAAAATGATCCCACATTCTTCAGAAATGCTGAGGTCCTGGTTTTAGGGAGGTTGAACCATGATTGATAGTGTTCCACTGTGTGTTTTTCTATCCAGATTGTCATTGTCACGGGTTTGTGACCCATCGTTTCTGTGTTTGGACTTTTGATTTTGGTTTATTTAATATTCTGAGGTTAAGATTCTGTTCCTTGTTTTGGTTATTATAGTTGTTAGCCTTCTGTTTAACATTTGTATTCTTAGGTCACCTTAGTTTTCTTATCTAGTCTTTACATTTCTGTTGTCAAGCCTCCCCTCTGTCCCATGCCCCATGTATAGTCATAATTCTGTAGTTATATATTTTCAATGTGTCTCTTGCTCTCTCTCTGTTTAGTCAGTCACGTCTCAGTGTTTGTTCCCCTGTCTTGCCAGTTAGATTATAATCCAGCCGTGTTCCCCAGGTGTTTCCTCTCTGCCCTGATTCCTTCATGTATATATATTGTCTGTGTCTTTTTGTGCTCCTTGTGATGATCTCCCTCTTGCTGTTTGCCCCGTTTGTTCAGTGCCTGCAGTGTATGTTTCTAGGAGAACCGGTCAGTTAAGTTACTTAGATTTAGTTATTTGTATTTTCCAGAAATAAACCTGTTAAGTTCAGTCCTACATTTGGGTCCTAACCTGCCTGCCACACACAGCGTCATGACACAGATATGCTTTTACTGCATTGACAGTGTGTCTGGGATCATTAGCATGCTGAAAAATGAAGCTGTTGCCAATCAGATAATGATTTTTTTTCCTATTAATTAAGTTCATAGCTCACAGATACACCTGCTGTAGATACTTATCTGGTTTCCTCAGATTTTTTAAGTGCATAGTGCACACCATGCCAAAGTTTTCAGCTAATGGCATTATGGGAATCACTTTGTTGGTGTAAAATGACTGTTTTATGCCTTTCAAACTGTGTTATGTGTGTTATGTGTTATTCAGCTAAAGAAAGTGGAACAAATGATGTGTCTAGAAATGCAAACTAAAATTGGTTCTTTGCTGATGGGATGACAGTGAGATGGCTCGAAACTTTTGCACAGTATAGAGAGAGTGGAGAGTGTGAGTGACTCAGGCAGACTGCTGAAAATTGAATTCACACATGTTCATATTTTTAGATAAATGTGTTTATTAAATGAGTAGTTTATTTTATGTGAAGGATAAATTAATCACATTAAAAGTGGCTTAAAAAGTCTGTATCTGCCTTCACACTTACCTGCCAGTCCTCAAGGGAGCTCGAAATGTTGCCATAGCCATGACGCCACACATCTCCTTGATTCAGGTTGTTTGTAAATATCTTGACCCGCTCTCCCTTCACTGGCTTCATATACACTGTAAGAGAACCTATGGGACACACTCCATTAGTTTAACTTAATGTGTGTGTCTGTGTTTTCCTCTGTGAAGCTGGCCCACCTGGATTCACTCCTCCCATGTGATACCAGAAATTTAGACACTCAGTACGGGTAGTTCCTTGGCGAACAGATGAGGTGAGGACTGCGGTGCTACCTGAGGGAAGGATGCTTGCTCCAGTGTTAACAACCATGTAGAAACCTGGATAGAGACCATACAGCGCATGAACACAATTCTCAATTTCTCAGTCTCCTGCATGTATATTCTAATGTTAAACAGCAGGGGTGTTTCTCACCCTGTTCAGTCTCCAGGGTGTGATCAAATTTGGGCCCATTTGATGTGGATGTGTATCCGCTACGGTGGAGCCACTGATCTTTACTAGAGCTGGTGTACCCACACTGTTGGCCTTCAAAGGAACACATCCTTGGGTTGGTACAGGGACCCTCCAAGAATGCCACATCATCAATGGCAATGAGTCCATCATAGCCAGAGCGAACGGCTTCAAACATCAGCTGTTGATGAATTGGAAGAGAAGGAAGATGTTATTAACTATTCCTATTAAAAAGCCAAGTTAATTAATGTGTACAGGTGATTTTAAAACAACAAATACTGGACAATGTCATTGACAGAAACTTGATATCTATGTTTCAGATGAAACACAAGCATAAATAAGCAGACAGAAGTAAATTAATAAAAACATGCACAAGCAACAAAAAATACAAACATAAGACAGAAAGCTGGCATAAGTGGGCATGGCATCATGGTAAAAATGATAAAGAAAAATTGTGGGTCGTTATACATATTTAATATCTTTGGAGGTGAAGAGAGGTTCAGCTGTTAAAAAATTGACCAAAATAATTTCTGCACTTCACTTGTACTCAGTGATGAGTTAAAGGGAGATGTGGTCTTTATTCTTCATAAAAGCAAAAAGCGTCAGTGCTGCATTTTAAACCAGCGGCAGGCAGGATAGGTCTACCTGTGAAGGGCATCTACTCCCTTACAGCTGCAATGATGTTTTGTTTTACCAGAAGTGGGCAAAGTTTCTCCAAAAACTCAAACCATTTGTTTAAAATCAGTTTCACTTTGTGTCAGCTGGGATAGGCTACAGTACCCCATGACCCTCAGTTGGATAAGTGCTGAAGAAAAAAGGATGGATTTCCTTGTTTTAGTAATTTCACTGGTGCTGTGTGCAGTCATTACATACATGAAATTTTGAGATCTGGTGCGGTACTGGGCATTGTGCTTCATGCCAAACATTTCCACGAGCTCCACTGTGGGTCCACAGGACCATCTCAAAACCTTTGTTATCTATTAGCTTCACATTCAGAGTACCTGGAAGAAAATCATCAGAGATTTCTAGTTAAAGGTTTGTTTTTCTTTTTTTACTGAAGAAACAATCTTTCATTCTAAATTTACATATTAAATTCTTTTAGTCAAATTATCATCACCTGCATTTGGCCCATAGACTTTGTAGAAGAAGTAAAGGCAGTAATCTTTAGGACCCGGTGACTGTGGAAAGGAAATTAAGCGTCCAAACAAACCGTGCAGGTATGGACTCCTCATGTCCACGACAAGGCTTCTGCCTGAACATCAACAGACAGACAGGTCAGCATCAGACACTGACACAGTATAATACCAATCACATAATGCTTAGCAAAATTAGTATCTTCACTTTCAAACTTGTATTATATTTATGGCAACTATTCAAAAAAAATTACATTAAATTATTACAAAGTATTTTTACTGTGCTTTCCATCATTTATCGACAGGGACTGAAAGGAGTTTATAGCAAAGAAACATCTCTCAGCTTTGTGACAAGAATAACATCCTAAATGTCAGCTGAAAAAATCAATTAACAAGGACCAATCATTACTGACAGCAGTTAAGAGCATTACTGAGGGTTTTCTAACAGAGAGAGTGAGTCTGTGGAAAGGATTTAAAAGTATGTACATCTGAGATGCTCCCTGATTAAAAGCCTGTATAAAATGCTAGATTAATTTATTTGAAATGAGCTTACCAACACTGATAGTATGGTCCATCCCACTGAGCATTGTCCAGTCAAAGTTGTCGCTGCTGTCCTGATACCATCCACACAGTCCTTCTTCAAAGTTACATGACAATCCTGGGCAAACACACACAAAACTGGTTGGTTTAAGCAAGTACTAGACAATTTACTGGAAAAACTTTAAACTGAGCATCATAAATTATGTAAATTATAAGTAGATATTAAAGTTACCTGTTGGAGACCATGGATAATAGTCAACATGACAGTCACTAAATTGGACATTTTTCACTTTAATATTGGAGCACTGACAAAGTTTCTTAGCGTGAGCTTCAAAAGCAAGCTGGTGAAGATAAAACAAAGCGGTCTAATGAGTTAAATAATATTTTAACTGTTTCATTGTTTGATTTTGTGTTACAGAAAAACAAATAGCATAGCATTAGCTTAGTCAAGCCACAAAGTGAAACTCAACATCAATTGTGTCAGATCAGCTGATCTCAAATCCATGAGCAGATGGTTCAGCTTATACTTCCTCTGAATGTGCCATTGGCAGATTTCCTATAGAGTGTGTTGCTTAAACCTCCCAAAACTCTCTTTTCTTTTGACTATAGTTTTCAGACTGAAGTTAAAAATATAATAATATAGCTCATGTCATATGTACTGTTAGAGCGATGGACGCTCATGTTAAACAAGGTAAATATTTTAAATAATGAGGTCATGTTTAATCTCGGGCTTTGTATGATGACCTCACTGAAAGCTGATATCATCAAAGTGGCACAGAAGCCCCACCCAGCTACTATTCAAATTTTCTGTTTATGAGAGTCAGCCAATGAGAAGAGGAGTTGTATCTCTTTAGTTGAGCAAAATGATAAATACCTGAGCAGCAAGACTAAAGTTAAGCTGACCTGGAATCGATTTTTCCTGAATCCAATGAGTATGTCAGCGTGTTGCCAATCCTCTGCCTCTGGTCCAGTCTTCCCATTAAACTCCCACAATTTAGGCCCCGTGCCCATTGAGCTGTCGATCACTCTGACGGACAGATCACCTGCAGCAGAAAGATGCAACCGGGGTTATTTACAGCATACCAAGTTTGTGTTCTGGAAAGAATAAAAAGATTTGCAGGGCAACAACTTACCAATATAACTGGGTTTCCCAGTTAGTGCATAATCAAAGCTCATGCTACAATTGGGACCAGTGGGGCCTAGGAGGGGGGTCCGTGTTTGGGCTTCAGTCAGCTGCTGGCCTGGAGCTTTGGCTACATACAGAAACTCCTCTGACAGATGAAAATAGACCCATGGGAATAAATTGTACTATGAAATTAGCACTAAACAAATAAATAAATGAATACCAGAAAGAGCTGTCTGTACCCTGGGCTGTGGAATTTTGATATAGTACCCAACCTTGACCCCCAAGACTGGTGTCAGTCCACCCAGAGCTGCCCTGAGAGTAAGAGAAATCACCTGCAGAAGAGGTTTTTGAAGAAACAGCAGTTAACAGAAGTGATTAAAAATGCAACCATAATCAGCAATAACCTTGTATATTACATGTTCCATGCATGAGACATTACTTGTAAAGTTTAGGAGCAACCAAAGCAATAAACACAACCTACTTAATTTATTTTTGAAAATTAGCAATGAAATTGTGTAAAATACAAGTGAATTATTTACCAGCAGACTCTTTTAAGTATATTAACCTTCTTCTTGAAATAAAATAGCTATTATTAATAGAGTTGGGTTAAGTTTAGGAACACCCTGCTGGAATCAGCATCACTTCATTTCATAAAATCAAAAGTCTTATAATCATTTAGAACTTTGCAGACCATTTTAAAAAAGTCAAACCGAATAAGCAGGATGAATACACTTACCACATTTAGCTTCATCCTCTGCTCCTTCACAGTCAATATGAAAATCACACAACTTATCCGGTTCAGCACATGGATTTTTAGGGGGACCAGGGAATGTTTCAACAGAAGCATTATCTATGGAAGAGAAGAACATGAGCAAGAGTCATTCAACGACACAAGATGTTTATACTTATTCCCTGCAGATGTTTTTTCTCAAAGTTAAGACAATTAAGAAGCTTACTGCTTGATAAGCGGCATTCGGGAGACAAAACAATGCTGTCAATCGCGATACCTCCATATGCAAAGTTTCTGATTGCTGCCATAATCAGGATCTATAGGGAGAAAATAATTCAAAAGAGCAGATTAGCTATTTTATATTTCAACTAAAATTCTCATCAGTTACACTATAAAAGAGGTAAAAAAAAAAACCCAAAAAAACAAAACCCAACAACTAAATCGCTTATTTCCAAGCTGCTGGATTTTTGAATTTTGTGAGTACAAAAATACTAAATTACATTTAGTAGTCATGTAAACTCAAATTAAAAGAGATGTTTTCTTTTCTTTTATTCTTCATTTGTCGCATGTAAACTGTTCTTTTCTTTCTATTGAGTATTACATTCAGATCTCAAATGTTTTTTATTTTAAAGTCAGAAACTTTTGATTTTCGATTATTTATGCGCATGTAGAAGCTGTACGCTAGAGCTGAGAAGCTTTGGTCTAATGGGATCTATAAAATGTTGTTGTTTGCTTTTTAGGCGATGTTATATTCATTTTAAATGTTTACATTTAAATGTTATTTTTTAAATATATTATATTATGATATATTTCTTATATATATATTAATAGAACAATAATGAAAAAAAATATATATATATATGGATTTGTATGCATTAATTACATAGGTACATGGAGACCCAGTATTGCAGGGTCTTTACATTATGATATAAAGCGGCTTTTGGTATATTACATGGAATTGAACTGAACTGAATAATCACCATCATTTCCGTTAAAGTAAATTAAAGTATATGTGAAAAGGTAAAAATATTTTACCTCATATTTTAATTATTTAAGCTTAAAGTTAAAATTTAACCACTGTTGCCTTCACAACATCAACTTCCCTCTGAATTATTTCATAATGTTCATGTATTAAGAATTTAAAGCTTTTCTGTGTGGAAAAGTGTTTGATTAAACGATGACTCCCAGCTATCCTTAATTGGCTCACCAAAACACCAATCTCAGTATTAGCAGTAAACAAACAGCTCCAGGATGTAGGACAAGCCATATGTGAGACTGGCTAATAACAGGAAAAATCAATCCATCATTGGAGCAAGTTTGTGTTGTTATGTGATGGTAGTAGTGCACAATGTTGGGTGAAATTTTCATGCATCGGAATTTGGTTTTTGAAATCGTATCTGGCTGCTTTTAATTTGCAGAATTGTACTTTTTGGTCAATTTTTGGCCGTTTTGAGATTATTATCAAACCCACACAGTTTGATGATTCAGACACTCGACAACAGCCCTCAGCTGTGCTAATATAAAAGGAAAATGGTTTGTCTAATATCTAGTCAGCCTTTTAACATAACGACCAAGCATTAGGGAACACAACGTGCCACTGGAACACTAAAAAACAGGCCTATGTAAACCTGATTGGTATTTCACTAAGTTCATATAATGCAAGATTAAAGATGTGCTTTGCTTTCAAAAACAGTGACTCAACTTTTCAGCATTAATGTACCTGCAGTAACATAAAGTTGTTGTATTAAAATAAAGTATTGCATGCTCTCTTTCAACTTTGTTCCAGGTTTATTCAAAAATAATAATGGTGGCTGATATATCATACATTTTATTTTTTTGAAGATGAACATATAACAGTTGGACTTGTGAGAATTGTGTCGGCTGTATACATACATTAAATCGACACATATATTTATTTTTACATTACATAGATTACTGTAGTGGCTTGGATGAATCATCTCTTATCAAATCATCGCACCTCCGAGCTACATGAATTTCTGTGGCCAGACTTAACCGATTCTGTAAACTTTACTTACTTACAAAAACCTAATTTTACTGATCTTTACCTTATGTAATAACTTCTTTGCTATTCAGGGTTTTTTTTTTTTTTAAGATTTGTAGTCCTAACCCATCAATATCCCTATTTTAGAGTTGGAATGGGTGAAGCCCAGCTTCCCTATTACGGTTATTAATTCACCTGTGAGAGGCACTTACCTGGAAAGTGACGTTGGTGACAATCTCCACCTCTGCCTTTACCCAGAGATCACCTAGAGAGCCACCTCTTTCCCACACTGGGTAGATATATTTATCTGCAACCAACACCGTCAAACCCCCCGACCTCGGCCCAAACTGGTGAGTGTACATCACCATCTACAACAGGCAGGTACAGTAAACTTGTGAAATTAGGTTTTAAATTAAAATTATTGTTAACAATGTTAATTTAAAGATGAGGGATGAAAAAATGCTTTTCTCTCCAGCAATTTAAGAAAGAAAGAAAGTATACTTTATTGATCCC